CTCACTCCACTCATCTCACACCACTCATCTTATTCCACTCATCTTACCAGTGGCGGCGCGCGTGGTCGCCGCTGGGCCGCGGCTGCCGTTTGTGTGGCAGGCACAGCACTCTGTGAACCTCGGAGCGCAGATTTCGTGGCAGGCGCTGTACACAGAGCCCCCCGGACCAGCGGCGGCGGGCGTGGTCGCCGCTGGGCCGCGCTTTGTACGCGCGCGGTGTTGTTGGCGCCTCATCGAACGTAAGCCAGGCTTACTGACCAAGTGCGCTCCATTTTAACACGTTGTCATGAGTCATGAGGCTAGACCTTCTCCTGCTCTACGATGCGTGCGATGGCAACCACGCAGGACGGCTCGGATCCAGATTGCAATCTGTCACTGTGCTACTTACCGTCGCATTGGAGTGATCCTTTGGTTGTATTTCTCTTTCAATCTTCCATCGCCTGTGCCAGGTACTCTGAAGTACACGGAGTGCAGTTGACACTTGCGCTACCTCTGTTCAAAAAGAAATGGTGCGCTGCATGTCTTCTCCAAAAGCGCATATCAAACGGACGTACAATGGAAGCGACGCCCGCGCATTCTGTCCCTCTCATTCCCTGACTCATCCTCTCAATCACGCACTGCTTCTTCTTTCACCCACTATCTCTTTCACCACTCATCACACACCACTCATCTCATTCACTTTTATCGTCCAGTCTCTTTCCGTCCTCCTTTTCTGATCAGTCTCTACTTTTCGTTGATAGTTCTGACAAGCTTAACATGAGGGATTATCCAGTCCTTTGATCTTGGGTTGTTCCCGAACGCATATAGCGAAGGGTTCTGGTTTAACTCTGGGGGTTTGGGGGTAGAGCCTTGTTCGCGACTCGTTGTCTGAGCTTTCGCAACCGTCCGCAACTGCTCACAACAGGTGGAGCGCTACTTGGTGGATGGTTCTTGGTTGTGGAACTTACAATAAACCAGTTACAGCAATTACACCACATAGACATAGAAAACTTGTAAGTTAAAGTCAAAGTTAAACTTGCAAAACTACTATGTACTGTACTGAATTGTGAAAGTTATTTGTAAATAGTTTTTGTAAGTAGTTTTTGGTTGCAAGGTTTGGTGGACGTGAATGTCGCTGTGACGTTGGGATTGGCATGTCGGCAGGTGTGGTTCCGAGGGGCTGGAATCGCGAAGCTGTTTGGCAGGGCTGCTTAATGCGTTAGCTCCGATGGGTCTTCCCGCTTGACTTTAGGAGGAGGTCTCGCGCGGAACGCTCGTATTGGAGACTTTGACGCGTGACTTTTGGAGGAAGTCTCGTGCGAAGCGCTGGCTTTGCAGACTTGACGGGTTTTGGGCGAAGTCTCGTGCGAAACGAGACTTGAACTAGGACCAGGAAGGCTTATACGCAACACTCTTTTTGGTGACTTGACGTGTGACTTTTGGAGGGGGTCTCGCGCGAAACGCTCGTTTTGGAGACTTGAATTGTGACTTTTGGAGGAAGTTTCATGCTCATTTTGAAGACTTGAGCTGAGCTGTGAGTTTTGGAAGAAGTCTCGTATGAAACGCTCGTTTTGGAAATTTGAATTGAGTGAGTTTTGGAGAAAGTCTCGTACGAAGCGCTCGTTTTGGAGACTTGACACGTGACACTTGGAGGAGGCACAAGAGTGTCCCACCAGAGTGTCCGACAAGAGTGTCCCACAAGAGTTTTCCGTAGGGAGTGTCCCACAAGAGTTACACAGTTACACCCAAGAGTGTCCCACAAGAGTGCCCTACAAGAGTGTCTCACAAGTGTGTAACTCTTGTGGGAGAGTGGCCGACAAGAGTGTCCCAGAAGAGTGTCCCACAAGACTGTCCCACAAGAGTGCCCGACAAGAGTGTCCCGCAAGAGTGTCTGACAAGAGCGTCCTACAAGCGTATCTCAGAAGAACGTCGTGCAAGAGTGTACTGCAAGAGTGTGCCCCAAAAGTGTCCCACAAGAGTCCCACCACCAGAGTGTCGTACATGACTGTCCCGCGACAGTGTTTGACAAATGTGCCCCACAAGAGTGTCCCACAAAAGTGTCCCACCAGGCTGTCGTACGTAACCTCTAGTACAGATGTAGCACGGGAAGTGGCACAAGAGTCTCCAACGAGAGTGTCCTGCAAGGATCCCCACAAGAATGTCTCACAAGGGTTTCGACATGTTTCGACAAGAGTGTCCCACGAGAATCTCCTACAAGAGAGTCCCACAAGAGCGTTCTACAAAGGAGTGGCCGACAAAAATGTCCCGCAAAAGAGTGTCCCACAAAATTGTTTCACGAGAGTGTCCCACAAGAGTGTTCTACAAGAGTCACAAGAGCGTCTCCTACAAGAGTGTCAAAAAAAATGTTTGGCCGTTTGTCTTTGAATGCGTGTGTACATTCGGGTTCGTGGGTTCCATCTTGTTTTGTTTTTCGAGTTGGGATATTTCTTGAAGTTTTTGTTTCTTGAAGACATGCGACATGTAGCAGAAATTGTTGGTTTTAGGTTTGTTCGGTTTTGTGTTGATACTTTGTGTGGTTAGGTACGTCAAGAGGTACAATACCGACGTAGAACACTGTACATGTTTCATGAAGGTGTTTGTCACTGATTGAAATCGCTGGTTGAAAGTCGCTTATTCCCGTCACCTTTTGCAGGCTTTCGGATTCTGGAAAGTGGAGATCCTCCTCAATGCGTTGTCGGCCATGAAGGCGGGTGTTTGTTGCCAAATTGCACAACGCAAAATATTTTGGACTGCAGGCTCCTGTAGACCTTGTTTGTGTCCGATGTCCTGCAGATGTGCGGCATCGCGCGGGATACTCTCCGAAGCTTTGGACCTAGTCCGAGTCTGAAGTGGAAATGTTCAACGGAGTCGATCAAACACATGGCTCAGGCACAACCGGATTTGGATGTGTGCCAACCGGTTTTGGAATCCTTTCGAGTTCCGAAGAGGACAAATTGTTTCTTGAGCGCATCATGTTTTAGAGATATTGCAACACGGTGATTCGATTTGCTAGTTGGAAGTGTTGCCTTGTACGTATCATGAAAATGGTGAAACTGCAGAGATTAAATTCATGTCATTCTATGATGTGTTTGCAGTGCTCGTCCACGAACTGACGCATGCCTTTGACTTTGCCCGTGCCAAAGTTCTGGACTCAGTTGATTGAGTTAGACTTACATGTGAGGTGCTGTCATAATTAGTCATAATTATTCAACATTAGTCTCAAAGTTCCTCTTCAATGCCCCATTTATTTGGTGGAAGTGTTCAAAAGCATTGGAAATGAATGCGGACAATACAGACCCACCCCAAAACAGCAACATGCGCTTGACTCTGGGAGTCGAAGACGTCGAAGTTCTGGAGGGACTCTAGTTTGGCTGATTTTGGTGGATCATGTCACCTCAGAGGCTTTCATGTAGAAAGGATAATGATTAGATTGTATACGGCCCGCTTCCCCAGACCACAAGGTATCAGAAGCTAAAAGTGCTGCTTTGTATGAACTGTTATGACCTGGTGATTGTGTGTGTTCTCCTGGCCATAACATGCCATAACAAGGTGTTGTGTTTCGTTTCTTTGTTGCCACTGTAGCTTCGCCACACCCGATGCGATCAAGGTTGACACTGGATCTTGCGTACATATAGCCCTTTACTGAGAGATTTGGTCCAGGTTTTGTCATAAGTACTGTCTGGTCAACGTCAAGGCCCTTTTAAATCACTTTGTTGGTCCCTGGCAAGGCATGCACCGAAATTCGAGCTTGGAACTTGAGCGGGGCAGCGAACTGAGGCTGAGTGCTTTGCTTGTTTTAAGAAATATCAGAAAAATGACATGACTCAGGAGTGTGACTTATGGCGGAACTCCTTCAAGTACTTTGGCGAGGAGTTCAATTTTTTGTCCCACCCAGTCCCGCTTAGTCGCAAGGCCCAAGGGGCCATCCACTGGCTCTTCCCCTAGCTGGTGGGGTCATTTGTGTCTATGCCGTTTCAATTTGTTTAAACATTGACTCAATTAGTCCAGCAAGTTTGCCTGTGGTCCTTGCGACGCAGTTCAGAGAACAGCATGGGCGCATAGATGTGCATAGTCTATGGAATGATTGACGATGGGTCATTAGCCGATTCAGAAACCAACCGATCAGGCAACTACGATTCAGAAACCAAAACAGCCGATTCAGAAAAAACGATTCAGAAACCAGAATGGCCGATTCAGCAACTACGATTCAGAAACCAAAACAGTCCGATTCAGAAACCAAATGGTCCGATTCAGGAACCACATGAGCCGATTCAGAAACCAAAACAGCCGATTCAGAAACCAAAATATCCGATTCAGAAACCAAGTCGGACGATTCAGACACCAAACCAGGCGATTCAGCAACTACGATTCAGAAACCAAAAGAGCCGATTCCGCAACCAAAAAAGCCGATTCAGAAACCAAAACAGCCGATTCAGAAACCAAAACGGCCGATTCAGAAACCAAAACAGTCGATTCAGAAACCAAGTCAGACTGTTCAGAAACTAAGCCAAGATAATAGCGTTCCATGTGGATGCAAAGGGCTTTTACATTCAGTCAAGTAAGAAGTAGTGGTGGACGGCAGGAGGAGTGTGGGGTGGGGGGGCAACCATGGCCGAGATAATAACGTTCCATGTGGATGCAAAGGGATTTTACATTCATTCATTCATATATGAGTCAACTTGTATCAACAGCATCTGGCTGAACAGAGTGGAGGGTAGGAGCAGTGTGGGGTGGGGGTTCATGGCCAAGATAATAACATTCCATGTGAGGATGCAAAGGGCTTTTGCATTCATTCAAGTAAGAATTAGTGGCGGACGGCAGGAGGAGTGTGGGGTGGGGGGGCGGGGGGGAATCATGGAGAGATTTTGCATCGGTGGCACTACTACCACCACCACCACCACCTACTACTACTACTACTACTGCTACTACTACTACTACTACTACTACTACCCGAATCATCAGCTTCTTCTTTTGGAAATGTTTTTGGTTTTGGTTTCCCGGGTTTGGTTACCGAACCAGCGGTTTTGGTTACCGAATCAGCAGTTTTGGTTACCGAGTCAGCGGGTTTTGGTTACCGAATCAGCGGTTTTGGTTACCGAATCAGCGGTTTTGGTTACCGAATCAGCGCTTTTGGTCACCGAATCACAGCTACCGAATCAGACCGTTTGGTTACCGAATCAGACGTCGACCTTGACGATGCCATTATTTCAGGAGATGATCAATCGAAAGCAGCGATGTGTGCGGGATGGCGCGGTTGCATCACTGTTGGAGAACGAGCGCTGCCAGGACATAACGAATAGTTTTCCATTAACTTTGATTGTCGCTCCAAAATCACAGTCTTTAACTACTACTGTAGGTCACCCCGCCACAGGTGGACTGTGGCTCATTGTGCAATTTTTTGGTTGGAAAAAAAAACGAAATGAACATGTCCATCGTTTTAAGGTCTGACATGGTCTGACCAAACTAATGCGTTTTCTGATTCTTGCAACTGCCACGATCTCTGTGGCAGAGCAGAGGTCTCACACTTTACACATCTTTGCAAGTGCTTAGCTTGCAGCCAGTCTTCGCAGCTGTCAATCCCTTGCCGAAGTCCTTGTCAGGTCATTGACGTAGTTCTCCCTAGTAGCAATGGCAGAAGCCCCTAGTAGCTTCTTGTTCCGAGTAGTACGGCCAGGAGCCCCTAGTAGCGTCCTTGCTCCTAGTAGCGATGCCAACCCTTCTTTTTTTGTTCGCCTCTTTGGGCAAGAACGTCTTCAAGCTTTGTACCCTTTGCGCGAGAAAGCCCTTTAGGCTTGCTCGGCCCTTCCGCGAAGACTTTCGCACATCCTTCAATGACAACCCGACCTCCGTGCTTTGGAGATGCGCGTTCCCGTGCTTGAGGTATGTTCGTCCCAAATGAGCACCGCAAGAAACCTCCCAAGATGAACTAAGTAAAGGCCTTGTCATATGGAACTTGGGCGTAAGCAAAACCTGAAAAGGGTAAGGTTGCGTAAGGGAGTTGTGAGATATGTATGTTGCGTAAGCTTGCTATATGGTTACGTTGTACTTTCACCTACAAAAGGAGCCTTCGTGTAAGCATTTCCCTTGGGAGTATGGTTCTCATGTGTGAAAATGCAGATGCGTAAGATCTGCGAAAGGTCTTCTCCACCATCCGTGGCGCGTAAGTAAGCTCACATTGTGGTCGCATAAGAAAAGCGTAAGCAGGAGCGTAAGAAACTTATACGACATAGGGGGTTAATCATATGTATTTTGCAAAGCTTAAACGCTGCAGAGAACACGCAGCACGGATCACCTCTGCTCAAGACCAAGTGTCTGGCTTCCCTAACATCCCATGTGTTTGCAAGTCCGAGAACATATGCTGCATGGTTATCAAATGTGTATTCCTAGAACATATTCTGATTACCCACCAACTGGTGAAAGTCACAGGCTTCTACATAGTCGACATTGCAAAAATAGCCACAGGAAACCTGTGGCATGCCCAGGAACTACACTATTGTTTTGAAAGCTAGCATTGGCTAGCTCAGTTGTTCTTGATTTATATGGCAAGGGAGGGAGGCCTCAGGCCAACACTGTGATCTTTCACCAGAAACTCGCCTTCCCTCTCCTCCCTCCACGTGTTTATTGGACGTCATGGATTCTTTAAACCAGGAGTGCATGCCATCCAATTGCCGTAGCTTTCGTTTACCCCCGCTGGCCTCAAGTGACTTTTTACTTGCAGTGCCCAACAAGCGGTTTTGCAGGATACATATGTGGCGCACGCAGCCCTTGAGGAGGCCTGATTTCAATAAGGACCTACAAATCATTGCTGGACTCAACACGTGCAGGCATGGCCTCAGTGCTGGAGGGACTATTGGCCCTTTACAACAAAGCCGGTACACCACTGAAGATTGCCTACCTGCGATGTATCCGTGTTTGTACAAATCCACCTCAAAGAAGATTTGTGCAGTGGTCAAATGTGTTTTAAGGTTTTTTTGTCTATGATGTGGTGAAGTGCATATGCTGGCACTTTGTCATATGGTGTATGGCATGTGATGTTTGGCGATTTGCAAAATTTGAGCTCTTTTTGGACCTGCATACGACCTCCTACGCTATAACCGGCCTACTGAAAGAAGGACTCAAAATTTGCAGCTCGCTTTTGCGCGACCAAACAAGACTGCAAACTTGAGAAGGCTTAGCCCCGCCACTGCAGTGCGACTTGAAGCCCTAACTCCAGTTTTAAAGTGCCCAAACCAAACCTGCAAAGCATGTACTGAGAACAAACCGGAGGTTGTCGTGCCTGTGACCCAGCACTGCCGCAATGTCACAGAGGTAGTTGCTTCGTTTGCGCTGGACCCGCGCCTTTCAAAATGTGCACGAGCTCATTGAGCCCCTAAAACGAATGCATTTCGTCATAAAACGAATGCTTGGCGTTTTGCGCCTCAGGATCACGTGACTTACTTGTCCCATGCGGATCTTGATTCCTTTTTCTGGTAGTTTTATCTCGCAATGTTCCATAGTTTTGCCACCTCCGTAGCAGCCTCCACTGTCTTCAAGCTCGTAGCTTGGATGTTTTCCTCCAAACTTCCTTTGGTAAAGGTGTACGAACTAAAGGCACAGTGCATGCATACATTCACATCATGTGCATATGTACATGCGATGTACATGCGTGATCATGCATAAACATGTGGGAAGATCGTTGAATGCCTTGAATCTCACAGCCTGTTCTGGGTTTGAGTCATTTGGCTTGCTCAGAGCACCCATTGCCACGGATTGCAGCATGGGAATAGCACGGCACAAGTCCCTGGGAGCTGCGTTATGTTGGATCATCCTCCATGATGCAGACGGATGTCAACAAGTGTCTTGGATAAAAAACACTTGTAGATAGAGCGGCCTTTGCTTGAAATGGCCACCATGTACGACTGCATGGGTTTGAAGTGTTTGTATGTGGATATCGTTAAGGAAAAACCATGAACAAGCATGAAACATCACAATAAGCAAATTGGAAAAGGAACATCAAGCTCAGAAAAACGGCCCACATCATGGTGGAGAGACCATGCTAGCTTCCAGGAGCTACAAGTCTATCAAACAGATTCAAACAGTTTGCTGAAGGCATTGATGGCTCTGGGTTTCAAAAGGATGTCTAGAAGTCCCGCACTTTGCAAGCAAGGTGCCTGTACCACTGCCAGCAACACTTGTGATGGAAAAGTCCTTTTGGTCCTTCTTCTCCACCTTCACTATGCATCGCTTCGAATTCAGCATGAAGCAAGGCGGCTGCACAGCTAAACAAGGACGTTGCTTTCCATTGCTTACGGCTGTGCAGTGTGCTGCCAAGTGACGCTCCCTCGCAGAATGAACTCACCTTTTTGGTTTGCACAGGCCAATTATTCCTTGTTTCCATGATTCTGTGACAGTGCCTTCTGAATGGTTCGTTGTGTTCTTTTGCCCCAAACTCAAACTTAGGTGAAGCTCAAAACGAATGTGTTGCTTTCGACAGGCCCAATGTATTTGGCAAGGGTGAATGCTGCTTGTATCCTGCTGGGCAGGCAGTAGTTCCTGATGGGTCTCCTCAGAAACGATGTTTTGTTTGGATTGGACCAAGGGCTTTGGAAGCAAAAGAAGGGAGAAGCTCTTACTTTGGCGAAATTTGGCGGCAGCCTGCACTTCAAAACATGGCTCACTTGTCCACTGATGCCGACAAACAAGCTGCATCGGCTATAATGGACCTTTGCTTGCCGTGGTCGCACTGCAGTTTTCGCATTTTCAATTGTAGGGGTCAACCTCTTTATGCCCTGGTTGCCAAAATGCTCGCGTCTGCAGACAGTCCATTGCAACTGGTTTGGTCATACGAAATTCGTAATTCCAGTGGGCACTACTTGGGACGAACTTCAGAACTACAGAGCGGTTATCGACCGATCGAGCTCTATGATGCGCAAGGCCGCAATGTAGCCACTTTGTCAACCGTTTGGACATTTTTGTCATCAGTTAGCACTGGAACCTGGTACATCAACAATGAGTTTCCTGGCATTGCTGCGTCTGAACAGCCGCTCCTGGATGGCAGGCTAGTAGCATTCTTAGCAGCGCATCAATTTGCAGCACAAGGTTGGTTTGGCCCATTCTGGACTTTGTTGTTTTGGTGCTCACTGCTTGGTGGACTTGCCTTCGTGATAAAGCGCTGGCTTCAAGCGCCTGAGAAGTATGGGCTCATTGAAGAGGAAACATCAGGCTGTTGGAATGTAAGAAAGCGTGAGGTAGAAGTGGAGTCAAAAAATCGAGTCTGTCGGGCATGTTGAGAACGACAGCACCAAAGTCCGTGTGGACAGGAATTCACAGCAAACGGCCTCTGGCCAGTTTCACGGCACATCATCAATGTTTAGAGAGCTGGAACAGGCAATACAGGGCACAATTGCTATATATGTGATACTACGTGCTTACTTACCAAATATAGTATCACATCAACATGATCACTGTAATTGCTTGAGTTCGAGTAGTTTGGCAGTAAAATATAAATGAACGGTGTCTTCAAGCACTGGGCATGCCACACCGCACCATGGATTTGCTAGGACATGGAGCAGAACAGCTGCAATTGTCCGTCATAGCTGTTTGAAATCTGGCAGTGAAGCTTTGCCGACCAAAGAATTGTCTCACAAGATCTCAGGAGCAGGTCAAGCAAAACTTGCTGCAAATAGTTGGCTGCTCATCAGTGCTTTTCCCGAGCTCCAGCTTGCGTCCGGAAAACAGCTGGTTTTCATTGAACGAAGCCACCCACGTTTCAAGTCGTTTGTACTTGGGCAAATTTGAATATTATATATAATAAATATCAATAAATATACTGACTGGTAGACATATTCAGATGATTTACTGTAGATGTGGCGGGTCGATCAGGAGGTGGAGTTGAGTTTTGCATTCTTTGACAGTCAAGGAGTTGCCACTGATAAGGACTTGGACACACGTTGGCGACAGTCTCCAATGCTTCGATAGCAGTGATCCGGGCACCTGTTGAAAAAGGTCGAATACAGCTCAGCTCGGAATTCCGGCAGTTGCATGCTCTAGATCATAGAATTGTGTGTATATGCACCATTAGTTTCACGCAAAGGAAGTTGCTAACTTGCCAGTATCGAGAGTTCCCACGGGGTTGATGATTTGAGCAAGATAAACCATTGGCTTTTCAACAATAATGTTCATGCATCAGTGTGGATGTTTATGGTATGCAAGTGTGATGCGAGTGTGCTGGAGGCATTTTTAGTCATGTGTTTAAAGATAACAAAAGAGCCGGTCCATGCCGGCCCAAGAATTTGACAAGCGCAAGAACTCACAAAAAGGCCGCAAGGCATCAAGGCATCAGTCGTTCAACAGAATGCATCTATTTCAGGAGTTGATTGTTTGTTTTGAAGAACTTCTTTTCTTTGTCCTGGTGGGTCAAGGAAGGAAGGAAGGAAGAGAGGAACCATTTCAACGTAGGCCACAGCCCCCCTCCCGCACCTCGAAATTTGCAACCTCTTCAATTTCCTGCCTGCCGCAAGGTCTGACTTTAAGGGCGGGCCACACCCCTCAAGTTTCGTTTCTTTTTTTCCACCCGGGGCTCCGCACTTCTGTGGGCGGCTGCCTTTTAGTAGTTTATAGTTCTAAGCCTGTTGTATTGCAACCATTCGAACTCCAGGGCGCAAATGACAAGCCATGGTTTACATTGGTGTTTTTCAGAACCCCCGAAGATTAACACGGAACCTGAATGTCTCACATAACATGCAAAAGGCATCTTTGTCAAGAATGCTGATACTCACTATTTACTTGAAATCTTACTAAACACAAAAGATTTTGCCATTTGACCATTTAAGGACTAGGCATTCTTGCATGTCACATAATCCGGCTCAAGGGACTGGATGCCTAGCAATTGGCCCATTTGCTTGAGCATTCGAGATGACAACACCTGTGCAAACGCTCACTCCTCAGCCTTGCACTGTTTGCCTTAGAATTCATCAGAACAGTTTGAAGGTGGGGAACGCTCGGGAATTTGGTCCCCGAGCAGAAAGAGTTTGGAGCGCGAGCCTGAGAAATTGGCATTTGCAGGCAAGTCAAACACAAAGTCTCTTTTACCTAGGCAGAGACGGCTGCATACCTGGAGTCATATGAGGCAAGCGTTTGCACGCGAGCATGTGCCGAACAGTTCGGAAATGATGCTATAACAAGCTTAGATTTGAAGGGTGTTTGTTTGACGAGTACAAGGTTGATCAGTTGATCCACCGTATGTTCAGACATTGCCACATTGCCACAGTTCATCTTGGGCACCTCCCATCAGTGTCCATATACACTGCGATGTAGAAATCTCCAACCCATGCAGTCATAGTTTGGACCGAACATGGCCCAAAACCAGAATCTCGCTCCATGCTTGGCAGTCCTGCCCAGGCCCCGCTCCCTACCCCTCCTGGTCCTCATCGCTAACTTGTGGGTGCTTGGGTTTGTTGGATTGGATAGGTATTATATTGTTATAGACTATATAGTATAGGTATTATATATATATATTGGATGGGTACTATAATGTACTATATAGTTATACTAATGAGTCTAGTCTAGTGTCTCAGAGTTCATTGCATTTGCTTGCATGTGTTACATATTTGTGTTCACAAGGCAAAACCTCAAGACATAATGGCATGTAATCTCCTGCTAGCTCAAATCCCTATACAATATAAATACCTATATATAAGTACATTGCATCAATTGCTATAAGTGCAGTTATAGGCGGCAAGTGTTGAATGCTCGGAATTTTGGCCACCTAACCTCGTACAAACCTGCCTTTTGTGGTAGGTGTATGACCTTTTTGCTCACTTGCTACGACAGGCCACAGTGGAAATGTGTTCAGATCTACAGTTTTTTTGCAATTTCTGAAGGCAAACATTAACAAACACAGTTGACACATCGTGACAAAGCTGAACAAACACATTTGTGGCCGCCAGGTGATAGTGGAAAGGCCAGAAAATCCAATCAAATTCTTCCAGGTGGCTTAACCTGTGAACCATGACGTACTTGTCATGTGAGTGATATTTGCCAGCCAATCGTCATTTCCCTGCACAGGAATGTTTGAAAGAACACTCCAAGTTGTGCATTTGCGTAATGGGGCCTCCTGGTGTGAATCGCTCCAAGTATTGCCAGCAGTTGGCTGCAGTCCTCGCCCCAGTTTTGCCTTTGTCAGGCATGCAAGAGTTTGCTTATTACGATGTATTGTATTGTTGTACGTGTTTGCTTGTTGATGTGCGCGCAGGACTACAAGCTGAAGCATGTGCACGTGGGGAAGCTTTTAAGGCGAGTTTGTGCAAGCGCAGTGTTGTGACAAACAGGCGGGCGGTCACTGCAGGGCCAGGAAAGAGCTCAAAGATGTGATCAGTACTGGAGAGCTTGTAGCTGATGACGTGGTGATCGATCTTGTGAAGGAGAAGACATTGAACCAGAACATGAACAAACAAGACCTACTTCATGAACAAACATGTATCAGTTGCATCAGAGATTGTATTTTTACACTGTTGACTGTTGCCTCAATGATCCCAGCTTCAGGACGAACTCAGAAAAGCTAAACACACTGGGTGGGCGGACAGCTCAAATTCTTTCAGGAAAAGGCTTTACTGACAAGGAAGTCAATGTACAGATGTGTATATATATACAGTATATATATATATATCGAGCGCAAACAGACTTTGTGAAGAAACCCGCACTTAGGTATTGGACGGTTTCCCCCGGACAAAGGTGCAAGCGCAGTCACTTGCAGCTGCCAGCAAGGCACGAGAATTTGAGCCCCACTGGTTCACTTTGCAGAGACTCAGCTGAGGAGCTGGGAACTAGCCTGGACAGTGTGCTGATGCTTCATGGCAGCGAGGACGCATTTTGCTGAATCTACCAGGATTAACCACTCAATGAACTGCAATAAATTTATGCAAAAATTGTACTGTACAAGCAAAGCTGGGAGGACCTTGCAAGGCAGAACTTTGCTGCAAAGGCAAGAAGCACTGCTGTGTGCTCTTTATTTAGTCAGCGGATTCTTTTTGAGAAGAATCACTTGAGAACTGTGGACGTTTGGTTTTGTTGTAGCAATGTTGTCCAAGCATTCACTGGCCTGCAATCCTGATCACGAAAGGTAGCGGTTACGCTACCTGAGTTTTCCTTTTGCTTTAGCAAAAATGAATTATAACCAGAGTGGACACCCATCTCACTAAGAAATCGCGGCCGGGGGGGGGGGGGCCCCCCCCCCCCCCTTTCAACTCCAACCTGGCGCGGGTCTTTGCCAACAGGTACAAAACACTGTAAATACCAGTGTTATCAGCTCCTCCAGTCTGCAAGAGTGGCCTCAATTTACATGGTTTTCTGTGGCTGTCCGGCCAAAAACATCGTAAAAACCGATGGTTTTTGAAGTGTCTAGGCTTCAAAAATGGTCGAAAAATTGCCAAAAACCTGGAAAGATTTTGTCGGAAGGGCTTTTTCGGCGTTTGGAGGCTTCTAAATGGCACAAAACGACGGTATTTACACGGGTTTGTGCGCCTTCCCGGCACAAAACCCTGTAAATTGCAATGGTTTTGGGCTGTGTACGCTTCAAAGTGGCCACAAAGCACCGTAAATGCTAGTGTTTTCATGTGTTTTCAGTTCCTCCTATCTTCAAGAGTGGCCTCAAACCACGCTATTTGCAGTTTTTTTGTTGCGGAAAGGGCTTTTGCGGTGCTTAGAGGCCTCAAAGCCTCAAAGTAGCACAAAGCGACGGTACTTACACGGGCTTCTGCACCTTCCTGCCACAAAACCCTGTATATTGGGATGGTTTCAAGCTATGTACGCTTCAAAGTGGCCACAAAACACCGTAAATACCATTAATACCAGTGTTTCCAGGGTTACGCCTGATTCCCTGCTACCTTTCGTTCGCCCCCTCCTGTCTCAAGTGATGGCATGACCGTGATGCAGGTTGAAGGTGAGATGGACTCCGAGAAGAGGGATGTGGTTGAAATGCATTTGCAACAGTGAGCGCTGCAACTTTGTGCATTGATGCTGCAGTTGTGCATACGTTGGTCCGGTTTGTATTGGAGAAATGTTGGAGGTACAAGCGTCATGTGTTGACGATCAGTGAATTCTTCAAGAATTCAGCAGCTTGGCTTTGCCAACTTGTAGATCCTGACTACCTTTGATGAATGCGTTGAGTCAGTTGTTTATCCGTCTAACAGACCAGGTGAGACGCATCGAAGTACAGGGAGGCACCTCTTTTGGACAAGCATGGATTGCTGGCGCATCCAAATGCCAAGCAACTACAGCTAAATCTGATTTTTTGGGTTTGACCAAAACTGCACACAGCTCATTGGTTGAACCCTAGGTGCTGACACAAAAGTGCATGATCATCAGGAGAATCAGAGCAAGAAAGTGTGTACAAGACCATTTGCAGCAATCTGCATTACAGAGGGTGCAAGACTCAGAAGACTTCAGAGGTCACAGCAGGTGAGCTTAAGGTAGCTCAAGCAAGCTAGCTTACACTGATTTGCTCGCACTGTTCACCACATTGGTGCTTTCTCACGTCATCAGCCTTGATAAGCTTTGAACATGTTGATCATCAATACAAGACAAGTGTGTATATATATATATATGTGTAAGGTTCTCCAATGCTCCTCTTCGTATGCACCGCATTTGCGTGCTCGGACCATGTGCCTCTGGCAGGACGAAGGGAGTAGCATACAACCCCAGACGGATGGTCATGTCCTAAACCTGCATGATTGCTTGAGGACTACACAGTGCAGCCTTTTGTCCAGGAGGCTGGGCGTAGTTCACGTGGATGGTGCCTCAGGACCTGAGCAAAGGCAGTAACTATATTCTATAGTATTTTGAATGCATTTGAAGAGTGTCAACATATGTCAGCATCACGTCCATAAGGATTTGGCGACGTTGCTACGAGAAAAGCAGGTGCAATTTTAGCAACCTTGTTTCAATTTGAACAGCCATGGCCATTTCTTTGAGTCATGTGT